GAGGATTAAATTAAAGATTGTGAGATAAAATAAGGTACCTAAAATAGACTACTGTGTACACTTCAGTCCTTAAGTAGCTAGTGTTTCTTGGAGAAAAATTATTTTTCAAGTAGTCTATTTTTGGCCAAATATAAAGTATTTTCATACACCTTGTTTTTATTTCAATTCTGGCTATGGGCCCAACCCTGCAAATACTTCTGTACATGAGCAACTTTAAGCATGCAAGTAATCACACAACACTAAACGGAATTACTTATGTGTGTAAGAGTTTGCAGGACTGGGATCTATATTTCTTTTCTTTTTATCTCTGTTATACAATAGAAAATTCTGACTTTGACTGTGTTACTAACACCTCTTGTAAGTTATAGAAAAAGCAGGCAACGGGAAGTAAGCATTAAATAGTGTTATAAAAGTGTCACTTACTCGCAAAGCCCACTTCTGACCCAATGCTCAGGGTGATAAAAAATGCTTACATTTTACTTATTCCAAAAGGTCAGGAGCACTTCATACCATATGTAATATCAGAAATATCATGGAAAATAAAGTTTTAAAAATAAAATCAGCATCTTCAAGGCTAGTACTGAAGGAGGCATTTTTACAAAAGTTATATTAGAGGCATCAGCAGATAAAAGCTGAGACCACAATGCAAGAGCTCATCAGAAAAGTTTACAACCTGATTTAATATTGTGAGGAAAGAGGGGGAATAAAAACAAAATGCCTTTGACCATTTGGATCAAATTCTGCCCTAACACCCTGTGTAAACACATTTACTGCAAAGGGCTGCAAGGAATGTACAAAGAAACCAGTGTAGATTTTGTCCCTAAATGTATTATTTGGAGTATAAAATTTTTCCACAGAATAGTAATACAACTTGGCGCATTACTTTTTCAAAGTGTTGCACAAACACTACATTAATCCTCACAACAGCCAGGCAAGGTCAGTAGGTATTATCATTCCAATTTTACAGATCAGAAAACAGAAGCAAAAAGATTAAAGGCCTTACCATGGAACACATGCAGCAAGTTATCAACACAGCTGGAATTAGATAGCATGAGTTTCTGGACCTGACCAGCCCTCATTCATCTAGCCCACATTCCCTTTGTGAAATCAAATCTATATTAAGCAGAGCTGGGCCCAAGCTGCAAAATCTGGATATGGAATTCTAACATGCATGATATGATGGATACAGCTCTGGGCTGGGAGTCAGGAGAGCTGGGTTCTATGCCCGGTTCTGCCACTGATGAACTGGGTAACCTTGAGCAAGTTACTTCACCTCTCTGTGCTACTTCTTCCCCCATCTATAGATGAAACTTACCCATCTGTGCAAAGTGCTTGGAGTTTTACAGATTAAAAGAACTATTAATTATTATTTTGTGACATTCATATAAAAGTTTTTAGTTCAAGACTATTTCTAAAGCAAGGATGGATAAATACATAAATGCTAATAACTGTAACAGGAAACTCAGACATGTCCACTTTAATTTAAATCCCCTAGACACATTTTATAATGCTTTTCACCATGTGGGAAGGAAAAATGGTACAATTTTGTTTAAAACAAACTTTGTAGTTAAACTTTACAATGTGCAAGTCACTAAAAAAAACTCATAAACCAGTGTTTTGTATGCAGAAACTATCAAATGGTTTCTCAGCACTGAAATATCAACTGCACACTATGGTTCCAATCCTGCAATACCTACAGATTAGCTTAACTCCTGCATGTAGCCCCTCTGAATACCCATGGAGCTCAGCAGGAGTACTCGTGTGCATAAAGTTACTCCTGGGTGTGTCGGCAGGATCAATGCCAAGTAATGCTTTTGTAATCACTCTGAACCATGGAACAAGATGAAATAGATGAATAATAGTTGGACTGATATAGATCAACAACACAGTAGGAAACTCCCTTATAGCTTAAGTATGCATTAGTTACTCTTCAAACAAATCAAGTCACAACATTTACCTCTTCAACTTTAGAATTAAAAGCAAAAATCTCAAAAAGAAAATCTTCACAGTGCTAAAAACTTTTGATCAAAACAGTTTCTGTGCATTCTATTTCAGTAATATCACTTGGGCCATTATAGTTGCAAGGACACACTCAATTAATAAGCAACAGAGTCCTGTGGCACCTTTAAGACTAACAGATGTATTGGAGCATAAGCTTTCGTGGGTGAATACCCACTTCGTCAGACGCATGTAATGGAAATTTCCAGAGGCAGGTATAAATATGCAGGCAAAAATCAGTCTGGAGATAACGAGGTTAGTTCAATCAGGGAGGGTGAGATCCTCTGCTAGCAGTTGAAGTGTGAACACCAAGGGAGGAGAAACTGCTTCTGTAGTTGGCTAGCCATTCACAGTCTTTGTTTAATTCTGATCTGATGGTGTCAAATTTGCAAATGAACTGAAGCTCAGCAGTTTTTCTTTGGAGTCTGGTCCTGAAGTTTCTTTGCTGTAAGATGGCTACCTTTACATCTGCTATTGTGTAGCCAGGGAGGTTGAAGTGTTCTCCTACAGGTTTTGTATATTGCCATTCCTGATATCTGACTTGTGTCCATTTATCCTTTTACGTAGTGACTGTCCAGTTTGGCCAACGTACATAGCAGAGGGGCATTGCTGGCACATGATGGCATATATAACATTGGTGGACGTGCAGGTGAATGAACCGGTGATGTTGTAGCTGATCTGGTTAGGTCCTGTGATGGTGTTGCTGGTGTAGATATGTGGGCAGAGTTGGCATCGAGGTTTGTTGCATGGATTGGTTCCTGAGTTAAAGTAGTTATGGTGCGGTGTGTGGTTGCTGTTGAAAATATGCTTAAGGTTGGCGGGTTGTCTGTGGGCGAGGACTGGCCTGCCTCCCAAGGTCTGTGAAAGCGAGGGATCATTGTCCAGGATGGGTTGTAGATCACTGATGATGCGTTGGAGAGGTTTAAGCTGAGGACTGTAGGTGATGGCCAGTGGAGTTCTGTTGGTTTCTTTCTTGGGCTTGTCTTATAGCAGGAGGCTTCTGGGTACATGTCTGGCTCTGTTGATTTGTTTCCTTATTTCCTTGTGTGGATATCATAGTTTTGAGAATGCTTGGTGAAGATCTTGTAGGTGTTGGTCTCAAGTGTTGGTGTTACAAGCTCAAATCCCAGAAGCCAAATAAAAAGAACTCAACATTTATTAATTATTTTTAAGAATCTCATGAGTGTTAAGCCAATCTCATGATTTCTGGGGTTCAGCTCATGATTTTTGAACACTTGAGGTTGGCAATACTACAGGTAGTAAATTTAAAAAGAGTTACAAGAAATTCCAAGTTCTACACCTGCCCCTGAGAATCCTTGCCTATTGGCATGGTTCAGCAATCACATGGTCCTAATTTTTTATTAAAAAAAAAAACACAAGCAAAACACAACTGTTACTGGACCAGTGTTTCTCCACCCCCATTCTCCAGGAGCAACTTCCAGAGGAGGAGTAGCCAACACAAGAAGAGGAGTACAGTAAGTAAGCCTTACTGAGTTGCTGAGGGTGCTACCATGGGAGTGACACAGTGTTCCCTCATCAGCTCTCACGGTGCATGAAATCATCTCTATGGCCTCAATAATTCACAAACCTCACTAACCTGATCCCCCATAAATTATTTCTGTACATTACTATAAACAATATCCAAATATTTTAATACAATGCAGGCTTTGCTAAACTGAAGCCTTTACGGTTACAGGTATTAATATGGTAAGATGTCCAGTTGAAACAACTGAAGGTTCGCTTTGCCTCACTCAGAGTTCAGCTGTGAAATATCAGCATTCCCGCTATACAGATTAAGATTCAGAAACATGCTTTGCAGAGTAGCTGTTATGCACATCACACACAAACTGTTTAAACTCCATTCATTACATTAATCTTTTGTGACTTTCAGATTTTACACTTATTCCATTATTTTCTCCATATAAATTGTACTTGAATGAATGTCTTGCTTCTCCTTTAATGCAATCAAAATGCTGCAGATCACCCAATGATTCATGATATTTCTGTAAAACAGCAATATGTTGTCATAGATATGAGCTTCAATTCACTTCTCAACACCTTTTCCCTTTTGTATGGAGTCAGAGGTGCCCACAAGTCTTCGCTCCTTCAGGTCCATGCCAGGGGTTCATAAGTCTTGGAGTTCCAGTCCTTTTCTCTTCAATCTTCTCTTAACAGTCTCTCCATCGTATCTTCTGTCTTCCACATCCTTTCTTGCTGAACTCTTCCTCCCATGCTTTCTTTGTAAATCATTCTTCTCCCATTCGTATCACTTGTCCACCCACTTCAAATGTGCACTCTCCAGCCTATTTATTACTGAGAGTCCCATGTTCATCTTCCCCCTAATTTCTTCCATGCACACTCTGTCTGCCCTCCATTTGCCTGCCATTCTCAATATATTACGTACTACTACCTGAATCTTAGAATCATAGAAAATCTTTTTTCTTCCATATGCAAAAGACCCGACCATTTCTAAACCACAGAGCAGGCAGGGAAAAACACATGCAGCATATACTTTTCCTTTCAGTTTGTTACTTAAGTGAGGTCCTACAGTACTCCTTCTATCTTTTTCACTGTCACCAATGCACACTGGGCTCTTCTTTTCAATTCTCCAGATCTCTCTCCGATAGCACTAAGGGTATGTCTACACTCCAATAAGACACCTGCAGTCGGCCTGTGCCAGCTGGCTCAGGCTAAGATCTTTCCTACCTTATAGCTTCTTGTTATGTTTCACTCTACAATAACTACGTTATAATCCTTATCCTCTGCTTATATCAATCTGTGGCCATGCAAATTACTCTGATATAAAAATCAGCATTATATCTTCATTACCCTTACATCTTCATTATAGTGCTGAGTTCCTATTTAAACAATAAATATGCTAAATATGGACAGCAGACATCTCTTCATGTCACAACACATGAAAAAGATACATAGCCTGTCATCTAACCAAGGCAAAAAAGGGGTATTAAGAAAACACACCAAAGAGACAAATCAGTACTTACAACAGGGTATTTTGTGTTTGGGTCAAATTCTGTAGAATTTGCATCTGGAACACAAAAAATTCAGAATAACCACCATACGTTTTCATTGTCCTAGATCATCAGCTTTGTTGGCATGTAGGGCTATACTGTGCCCTTAGGCACAGCCTTGTAAAGGCGTGTGTGTAACGTACAACACCCCAGGAGCAGCCTCAGGAAGCACAATGCCTCAGGGTAAGTCTACACATCAAGAAGGAAGTGTGATTCCCAACTCAAGGAAACATATCTGTGCTAGCTCTGATTGAGCTAGCTGCAACTACACTCTATTTTTAGTGTGCCAGCTAGATCAGAGCTGAGTCTTCACGAGCTGGGAATTACATCCCTAGCTTGAAGTGCCGACATACTCATAGAGACTCATCAGAGTCACACTTCCTCCCCTGATACCTACTTGTTCCTGAGGGTAACAATTTGCTGCTGGCCTAAGCCAGCACTAAATTACTACCCACCCTGCACTTATTTGGCTACTCTCCTCAATGAGTAGTGGGGTGGAGCCAATGCTCCTCCCATTCCTCACCACTACCTACCCACCTGCTTGAGGGACAGAATATAGAGGTGAGTTGCCCAGTGTATTCCTATGCTTCTGAAACCAAGATCTGAGTAGCCTGCACAGGGGTAGAAAGGGAGTTCTTACTCCCTTACATAGGCATGTAGTCCAATTCGTAATCGAGCTCTTAGAATTTGCTCACATTGATCTAAACACATAATACTATGATCTGAATAATACAAAGTTCATATAAAGAATAAGCTTTCTTCTAAGTGAACCAAATCCATACTAGGATACTGAACTCACCTTTCCAGTTTAAACAGTTTCTTGCAAACTCCACCACTGCCAGCTGCATCCCCAAGCAAACTCCTGCAAAGAAGAGAAGAGAACAGAGTTTCACACAATAAAAAGTAGAATTTGCAAAGTAGCCTCAATTCGGCCTTCAGAATACCCACAGTTTTGATTTCTGGCTACCCAGTTTGTATGTACAAACCCATACATTCTGGGAATTCTGAACACTGGTTGACTAATTGTGGACAAGAAATGTAAAGGTAACTCTAGACTATTCAGAATAACGATGTCCTTAGAGTCCTACTAAATAATCTTTTTTCATTTTAAATTTTATGTGCCTAGTAGGGATAGGCTACAGCTGAAAGTTTGGGTATGTTCAGATCCAAGATTTTGGCCAGGCCCATCCCTAGTATCTAGTCAAAGAATTCACCATGCATCTAAGGCTACGTCTTCACTACCCGCCTGAATCGGCGGGTAGAAATCGATCCCTGAATCGACGCTTGTACTCCACCAGCACAGGTAGGGGTAAGCGCCGTCAACGGGGGAGCCGCGGCGGTCGATTTGCCGCTGTCCTCACAGCGGGGTAAGTAGACTCGGATACGTCAAATTCAGCTACACTATTCGCGTAGTTGAATTTGCGTATCTTAAATCGATTTCCCCCCCCCCCCCCAGTGAAGACGTAGCCTTAGATTCTAAGCAACTCAAAGCAAGGACCACATCTTCTTATGTGTCTGCATAGCACCTGGCCGAGATCCTAACTGGACACTACTATCATAGAAATATGTAATTAAAAGTAATAGCAATACAAAAATGATCAGACATAACAAACATGTTGAAAGGGATATGTTCTTGGGCTATATTAAGCTAAAATTATAATGTTGCTGATTTATTACTCTTAAAAAAGATACTCAAAATCAAATATAAAATCTATGAACTAACTAAGGTGATTCTAAGGTCTTTGATGCAGGGACTGTCTTTTTGTTCTGTGTTTATACAGCGCCTGGCACAAAGGGGGCCTGGTCCGTGACTGGGGCTCTTAGGTGATATCGCAAAACAAACAACAAATAATAGAGTCAGCACCTCTAACATAGAACTTGAATGCTGACTCGAGTCAGAAACCACTTACCTTTTAATGAGGCCCACGCAACTTTGCCAGGTAGATTTTAGATCCTATTTTAACACCTACCTTAGTTTTATAAAAATTAACCACCTCTCTCTACATATCTTCAACACCCAGTAATATTTCCTTAGTTGAAAGATCTTACCAAGAAAAGGTTTTTTCTTTTTTCTTGCCCAAGATATTGCTTGGAGTTTGCCTTCTGTTCCCCTAAATCCAAACCCGCCTGGGACCAAAATGCCACTGTAATAAAATCCATACATAAAATGATTGGGATGTAAAATAAGACAAAAAAAAGAAAGTCTCCGTGTGTCACTTAGAGGATAGTCTTGTCAGGTTAAAATTAAATAAATGTGGTGTTAAGGGGCACCACATTTTGTATAATCCAAGGTGCCAATTCTGGGTGATCTTTAATGAGAAATGTACCTCATCAACATGAAAAATCCATTGGACTTATTTCAAGTTTTGGAACATCTGCGTCAGTGTTCTAGCCAAATTGAAATAAAGTAATTACATCCTCTCCAGTGAAATTCCTATTTCTTTAATAAGCTACAGAATTCTTCTTCATTCCTTCACCCTAAACTTGTTGGGTTGTATTTCTGGTGCCTTTACAATAGCTGCTGAATAATACTAAAGAGATGCCTTTTGGTAGTGGATGAAGTAAAATGTTCCCTTTAATTATACAGGGTGAATTGCTGGTCCCAGTGACATCAATCGCAAAACTTCTATTGATTTCAATGGGGCCACTCACAGTTTAATAATTTTGCAAAGTGGATTGATGCTTATAAAAACAGCCTTACAAAAATGTCATGAATATTTAGGAGCCCAGGCACAACATTTACTTACTCACTTTTTACTATGATGTTTGATGACAATGATCCTTTAGTCACATCAGAAAGGGTAGAATTTTTGAAAATGCCTAACTCTTCAAATGTACCTAAGCACGCAGGCACATTTAAAAATCCCACCCAAAGAGGCCAGAACAGAGGTTGATGTTCTGGCCCAATATTTTTTAACTTGCTATTTCCTTCAGTATAAATCATTCTTGTCACAAACCATCATGAAGCTATTTCTTCCTGTCAGCAACAAAACCAAATTCCTAAACAAGTCTACCTGATATAGTGAATGGTTCAAAATCTTTTTAGTAATATATGATTTGCCATTTGAGATGCACTTAAAATTAGTGTAATATTTTTACTTAAAATCTAAAATCTTTTCCACAATGGCTTTTACATTGCAAAGTACTGAGTTAATGAGAAGAAAGATAAGATGGTATTGGATATTGAAATTATACGAGACACTGGAAAAATCAGTTAGGAAAATATTTATATTAAACAAAACAACAAATCATTAAACTCTTCTACTTTGTATACAGAATACTTGATGGCACCTACTCTGCTTTGCATAATTTTTGCCACGCCTGGTGGTATTTCACTGGGTTCTCAACTTCTGTAGAATGCTCAAGCTCTATTGAATCTATATACTAAGAAAGAAAAATATATGACAAAACAGTATTTCATTCCACAGAAAAAGCAATATAATGCTATACTGTACAACAAATATTTATAGCATAAAAACAGCCTGCAGGACTTTTCAATGATTCTCACAATAAATCTGCACATAAAAAATAGTAGCTAAAGATCCAATCCTGCAAGGACCCCTGCAGTGATGCTGGAACGAGGGGTGCTGTCGCACCACCAGGCTTGAAGTAGTAACAACAAACACCAAATACATGGTTTCCATCATCTGTACCCCCACTATAAAAATTATTCCAGCACCCCTGGACCTCTGTTTAGGTGCAGAGGTCAGCCCATAAGGAATTCTTTGTAGGGCTGCATCTATCGTTATGGAGTGTGTAGCTTTATAACTGTAAGTCTCTCTTCTATGTACTTTCCTCCCTCTGAATTAGTTCAAGATAGCAACTATTCCAGATTGAGTCACACACACATTCTGGACCAGATCCTCAGCTGATGTAAATGAATGTGGCTCCATTGAAGTCGAAAGAGAAAAGAAGATAGTGGGGCAGTTATGGCATTGGACTGGGACTCAAAAGAGCTTGGTTCAGTTCCTGGCTCTGCCACAGACTTCTTCTGTGACCTTGGGCAAATCACCTAATCTGTGTCTCTATTCCCCCTCCATAAAAAATTATATTTAAATTCTTCAGGGCAAAGATTGTCTATTCTGTATGTATATATAGTGCCTAGCACAGTGGGGGTCCCAATTTCAATTATTTATACAAATAATAAATAATACACCAATTTACACCATCTGAGGATCTGGCCCATAATGTTTGTTTGTTCTTTGCTATTTTCTTTAATCTAAAATAAAAATCACCCACTCTGAAATTACACGTTTTCTCTTTATCTATGAAAAAACATACCACTGGTGAATGACAAGATTGTTTGAGGTTTGTTTGACTGGTAGTTTTGAGGTGTGAGAATTACCTTCTATCCAACATTTTCTTCTTTTCCAAAAGATACAATAGCGAATATAACTGCATATTTTTATTATGCACAAATAGTACGTTTTATTGTTTTACATGGTTGAAAAGAGAAGCTAGCTAAAGGTACATTTAAAATTAGTTCTGCTTTCACTGTCAAATACACCAAGTCAGCACATTTATAACTACACCTCTACCTCGATATAACGCTGTCCTCGGGGGCCAAAAAATCTTACCGCGTTATAGGTGAAACCACGTTATATCGAACTTGCTTTGATCCACCGGAGTGCGCATCCCCGCCCCCACGGAGCGCTGCTTTACTGCATTATACCCGAATTTGTGTTATATCGGGTCGCGTTATATCGGAGTAGAGGTGGTATTTGAACATTATAGGTTTCATCATTCAAATATGCAAATGATGTATTATAAATTAGGTATCACTATGTTACATTAAAGAACTGCTTCAGAACACAGGATTAGACTGAGGAGCTGCTGGCAAAAAGGCTGGAACACAGGTGTTTCGCAAGAGCTCTGAAAGTGGAATTGGCTCTGTGGAAGCTTTGTCACTGATTTTGGCCTACCTTGTGCAACCTACGTGCATGCTTTGACCTACCTACATGCATGCTTAACTTTATACATGCAAGTAGCTCCACTGAACCTCCGTAAGCCTCTTTGTGCATGTAAAGTTAAACGTGTTTGGAAGGATTGGGGCCTTGGTCATCTTTGTTGAAGGTGAATAGGGCTTGTTTAAATAATAGATAAATACAATTCACCCCTATGCAGGAAGCCAGTACAAGATTTTGAGCACCAATTAAACCATCAAAATAGGAATTAAGTGGGACTTAAATGGTGTGTAGGCCTTGCACTGGCTCTTTACATGGGGGAGGAGGATTTCTCTCGATGCAAATGAAATAGGATTCAAATCTCAGTGTCTCAACTGGGAGATAAATTATTTATACAGACTCACTCGCGTCTCAGATTTTACCTATCAATGAGCAGACAGTGCTTTCATAGTTAGTAAGGGGCTCCAACATTATTTGCCCCATCGTTTTCAGGGTCTTTTGGCAGAAGGGATAGTGCCTGCAGCAACTGAACAGCAAGTGCCCACAAAGAGTCTGAAGAACTTTCCAGGAAGAAAAACAACTTGGGGAGCAAAGCTGTATCTGGCATGACGATGATAATACTTAAATAATGATAAATGATTCTTGCATTGTTGCAGCAAAACTCTGGAACCAAAGTAGAGCAAGCTGTGCAGTCTGCTTCAGAGATGGAATTTCTTATCTCTATGGTGTCTATCAGAATGTTATCTCTCACTAAGGCTGCTTGCTCAGCCTCTCCTGAATTAATTTGAAGAGCGGAGTAGCAGGGAGGTGTCTTAAGGCAACTGCTGTCAGATATGACCAAGTCATTGGAGCCTCCACTATTGGGGTAGTGCTCCACTCAATAAAATGAGAAAATAAAGGCAGAGCATATCAATTAATGTACCTCAATCCTAATGCCATCTACCATTCCTTGTCAATTTACCGCTCTTCCCAGAGGAAGGGTCTTTATGGTGCAATTGCTCTGATGCCCCCGACTGTGTAATTCACATACACATATTCCAGAAGGGGTTCCAAAGCAGCAGCAAGACTAAGGCCTGGTCTGCACTAGGGGGGGATCAATCTAAGAGACGCAACTTCAGCTACTTGAATAGCGGAGCTGAAGTTGACGTATCTTAGATTAAATTAAAATTACTTACTTTGCATCCTCGGGGCGTGCCCTGCGGCTGCCCAGTCGACTTTGCTTCCGCCTCTCACCGAGCTGGAGTTCAGCAGTCGACGGGAGAGCGATCGGGGATCGATTTATCGTGTCTACACTACACGCAATAAATTGATCCCCAATAGATCGATCACTACCCGCCGATCCGGCGGGTAGTGTAGACGTACCCAAGGAACGGCACTGATGGGCAAATAACAAACAGATGTAGATCTCAGGCAAATTACAGTGCCCTACTTATAATTTTGACCGAGAGTAGTTACTGGCTTCTTGTACTAAAACAGCTGGTTTGATTATGCTGGGTATCCTTGGAAAACACTGTGTGGGAGCTAGAGCACTTAAAGTCCGGAGTTCAGGGTTCTGTTCTTGGTTCTAATAGGTGGTAGATGGCCTGTATTTTGCCTGGCTGGGCACAATTTAAAAAAAAAGGGGTTTCTTATTCCTGATAGATCTGCTGATCACCTTCTCTTTGAAGAGACTACATCATAATCCCTACTTTTATTGTACCGAAATAGGTGCCAGAAATTGGAATGTGTCAGCATAGCCTATTGGACAGAGCACTGGACTGGGGCTCAGAAAACATAGGTTCTATTCCTGGCTCTACTATTAGTCTGCTGGGTGACCTAGGGTGATTTCACCTCTCTGTGCCTCTGTTTCCCTGTCTGTAAAATGGGGGTGATGATACTGACCTTCTTTGTCAAACACTCTGAGATCTACTGATGAAAATAACTGGGCATTGTTATTATCAGTATTTAAGAGTGGTGTCCTGCCTGTTGTGAGGAGAAAGGTGGACAATGTTCTGGGAAGGCGGGGATGTGCCTTATAGTGATAGACTTAAGGAGCTCAATTTATTTACCTTAACAAGGAGAAGATTAAGAACATAAGAACTGCCATACTGAGTCAAACCAAAGGTCCACTTAGCCCAGTATCCTGTCTTCTGACAATGGCCAATGCCAGGTGCCCCAGAGGGAATGGACCAGATAATTATCAAGTGATCCGTCCCCTGTCGCCCATTCCCAGCTCTGGAAATTACAGAGGGTAGGGACACCATCCCTGCCCATCCTGGTTAATAGCCATTGATGGACCTATCCTCCATGAATTTATCCAGTTCTTTTTTGAACCCTGTTATACTTTTAGCCTTCACAACATCCTCTGACAAAGAGTTCCACAGGTTGACTATGTGTTGTGTGAAGAAATACTTCCTTTTTAAACCTGCTGCCGATTAATTTCTTGTGGTGACCCCTAGTGCTTGTGTTATGAGAAGGAGTAAATAACATTTCCTTATTTACTTTCTCCACACCAGTCATGATTTTATAGACCTCTATCATATCCACCCTTAGTGGCCTCTTTTCCAAGCTGAAAAGTCCCAGTCTTATTAATCTCTCCTCCTATAAAAGCTGTTCCATACCCCTAATCATTTTTGTTGCCCTTTTCTGTATGTTTTCCAATTCCAATATATCTTTTTTGAGATGGAATGACCACATCTGCACACAGTATTCAAGATGTGGGTGTACCATGGATTTATACACAGGCAATATGATATTTTCTGTCTTATCTATCCCTTTCCTAATGATTCCCAACATTCTGTTCACTTTTTTGACTGCCACTGCACATTGAGTGGATGTTTTCAGAGAACTATCCACAATGACTCCAAGATCGCTTTCTTGAGTGGTAACCGCTAATTTAGACCCCATCATTTTATATGTATAGTTGAGATTATGTTTTCCAATGTGCATTACTTTGCATTTATCAACATTGAATTTCATCTGCCATTTTGTTGTCCAATCACCCAGTTTTGTGAGATCCCTTTGTAACTCTTTGCAGTCTGCCTGGGACTTAACTATCTTGAGTAGTTTTGTATCATCTGAAAATTTTGCCACCTCACTACTTACCCCTTTTTCCAGATCATTTATGAATATGTTGAATAGGACTGGTCCCAGTACAGACCCCCTGGGGGACACCACTATTTACCTCTCTCCATTCTGAAAACTGACCATTTATTCCTACCCTTTGTTTCCTATCTTTTAACCAGTTACAGATCCATGGGGGGACCTTCCCTCTTAGCCCACGACAGCTTACTTTGCTTAAGAGCCTTTGGTGAGGGACCTTGTCAAAGGCTTTCTGAAAATCTAAGTACACTATATCCACTGGATCCCCTTTGTCCACATGCTTGTTGACCCCCTCAAAGAATTCTAGTAGGTTGGTGAGGAACGATTTCCCTTTACAAAAACCATGTTGACTCTTCCCCAACAAATCATATTCATTTATGTGTCTGATAATTCTGTTCTTTACTATAGTTTCAACCGGTTTACCTGGTACTGAAGTTAGGTTTACCGGCCTGTAATTGCCGGGATCGCCTCTGGGTGACTTGATAACAGTTTAAGTACCTACATGAGGAACAGAAATTTGACAGAGGGCTCTTCAACTAGCAGACAAGATTATAATAAGATCCAATGGCTGGAATCTGAAGCTAGACAAATTCAGACAAGAAATAAGGAGCACATTTTTAATAGGAGGGTAATTAACCATTGAAATAATTTGTCAAGGGTTGTGATGGATTCTCCATCACAGGCAATTTTAAAATCAAGATTGGAAGTTTTTCTAAGAGATGCTCTCGTTTAAACAGGAACTAATTCAGGGAAGTTCTAGGGCCTGTTTTATACAGAAGGTCAAACTAGATGATCACAGTGGTCCCTTCTGGGCTTAAAATCTATGGAACCTGGTGAGAGGGGGAATTCTTCCTAAAAAGAGTGGAGGGATCTACCTGAAATGGGGAACTCAATGCGGAATGCAGACTTATTTTAAGAGGTGGAGGTTGTTATATAGTGACATCTACTATTGTTATTTACTATTGGAAAGATGCTTTAATATCATGGTGAAGATGTCACATCAGAAGATAGATGGATGAGATTAGATAAAATCTTCTAGCATCACTATTATCATCCTGCTTTACTCCAAATGTTTAGCTCTGCTGTTCAATTTGCTCCTGACAGACATGTCACTTATCAGGCTTCCAACAAAGTGCAAATTTCCAAGAAAATCAATTTGTGGTCATTTAAATAGTAAGTGCAAAAAATGTTTACCTGTTTGGGATGCTATTTCGTAATTCTGCAGCTCAAAAACAGCTGTGTTTTCAAATGAGCATTGGCATGTGGTCCATTACAAAGATTAGGCCCCTATAGATATGCTTTTTTTTTTTAAATTAGAGGGGTGAATTTAATATCTGTAAACTGGGTACTGCAGATGCACAAGCCGTTTTTCTTCCAAAATTTGGTTTGTTGAAGAAAAAATTCACCAAAGTTTAAAAAAAAAAAAGGATTATACATCTGCAATAGTCAATATACAGATATTAAATTCTAAGAACAAATTGTCTAGGGACAATAACAATATAGGCAAGTTCTATCTATCCAGCTATGTATTTCTATTTAACCCATAACTATAGTAGATGAGCACCTCTCTCAGCCACAATAATGGTAATGAAATGTTGCTGTCCTTACTGTATGAGTAAAGGACAGCAGAACTGTGCTTAGCCTGCCCTGACTGAGGGGTCACCCTAAACTGAACCTCACTCACTAAGTAGGGGATGGGGTGACAAATCCCAGTGAAGAAGAGAAAGGATTTGGACTCTATCTAAAGAGTTCTAGAAACCATTTGATCTTCCCTACTCCAGTGTTTAAGGACAGAACTAATTAGACTCAGTTGAGAGTCATTCCCTCACTCTCACAGACCTTGGGAGACAGGCCAGTCCTCACTTAGACAGCCCCCCAACCTGAAGCAAATACTCACCAGCAACTACACACCACACAACAAAAACACTAACCCAGGAACCAATCCCTTCAACAAACCCCGTTGCCAACTCTGTCCACATATCTATTCAAGGTACAACCACATCAGCCACACCATCAGGGGCTCGTTCACCTGCACATCTACCAATGTGATATATGCCATCATGTGCCAGCAATGCAAATCCAATTAGGGGCCTTTATTGCAGTGTCCCTTTCAGATACATGTAGTCTAAAATAAAATAAAAATGAAATCTCTCATACTCCTTAAAAAACCATATCCAGTCATTTTGTGTACACCTGTATATATAAGTCCCAATTAAGGTACACTTTAATATTACATTTGCCTAAGCGATGGAAGCTAACCATTACATGTTAAAACATTCCTGAAACTGAGAGAGATTGATCCTCACCATTAAATTCAGTTTGTGATTAATTGCCAAAGCTGAATGTTCCAAGGCCTTGAAAACAGATGCGTAGCAGTCACTTAGTTTCGTATACTTGCCAACCAGAGCTATGGAGCACATCTTCTGCAACCTTTCATATCTGACAAAAGCAAGGTTTCTAATTATTATGCTCGTATTATGCATTCTAACTAAGGCTGTTGATTAATCGCAGTTAACTCATGCGATTAACTTAAAAAAATTAATTGTGATTAAAAAAATTAATCGAGATTAATCACAGTTTTTATCACACAGTGAAACAATAGAATAACAATTGAAATTTATTAAATATTTTGAATGTTTTTCTACATTTTCATATCTTACTCCTGTGGGAATTATGCGCCACTGCGCATGTGCAGAATTTATGTCCCCTGCAGATTTCTTTGTTTCCTTACAGAAAAATAACTTTCTGACAGGGAAGTAAAGGGAAGCCACAAAAGCGGTCATGCGACCCTTCCCAGCAGTATGTTTTGAGTGCCCAGGATAGCCAGCAGAGAGGTAAATCACTGTGGGGTAGGAGTGGGACTGGGGAAGATGTGGCAGGTGGCTCCTACCCTGCACTGGGCTCAGCTACTAGTCCTGGCTGGGCTGGGGAGGACGGGACTTCCTCTTCCGCTACATGGCAACCGGGGCTGGGTCAGACCGACTCCCAGATTTCTCCCCCGGCTATAGGAAGCTCTGCAAAGTCCCACCCCACCCCCTACTCCCAGCACTTCCTGCACCCATCATTCCTCAGCTGCAGGGGAAGGGATCGTTGTGCAGGGAGCTGCTCCCCCATCCATACAACCCCCCATGCATCCAGACCCCCTCATACCCAGAAGCTCCTGCCGAGCCTCATCCCCTCTGCACCCAGAAGCCCCCCGACGAGCCCCACTCCCCCTGCACCACCCCAATGAGCAACACGCATCCAGATCCCCACCTACCAAGCCCCGCCCAGACCCCCCTGCTGAGCTCTATCCCCACCCACACTCAGACCCCCCACTGAGCCCCAACCACCTTCACCGGGATCCCGCTGCAGAGTCCCATTACCGTTGTACCCAGAACCCCCCAACAAGTCCCTGTGCATCCAGATCCCCCCCTCGCACCCGGATCCCCCACTGAGCCGCCCGCACTCAGATTGCCCCACGCAGAACCTCTCAACCCACACCTGGATCCCCCCCCACTAAGCCTCTCCACGATTGGATCCTGTCTTGCTGAGCCTGCCTTTCCACACCTGGTGCACCTGGCACGGAGGGGCAGGGCTCTGAGGTGTCTCTGGGGCAGGCCCGGTCCTTGCGCTGTGTCAGGGTTGGGTGCAGACTCACCACTGAGTCTGAGTTCCGGGACGGGGGAGCTGCACAGTGATCTCCCACCTCTGTGCAGCCAGTGACCTGTGCTCCCCAGTGCCATGCTGGAGCCTCCACACTTATTTGATAAATAAAATTTGCAGAATTTTGCAGAATTTTAAAATATTGGGCGCAGAATTTTTAATTTTTTGGTGCAGAATGCCATCAGGAGTAATATATATTGTATTCTGTGTTGTAATTGAAATCAAAGTGTATATTATTTTTTATTACAAATATCTGAACTGTAAAAATGATAAAAGAAATAGTATTTTTCAATTCACCTCATAAAGTAGTGCAATCTCTTTGTCGTGAAAGTGCAACTTACAAATGTAGATTTTTTTTGTTACATAACTGCACTCAAAAACAAAACAATGTAAAACTTTAGAACCTACAAGTCCACTCAGTCCTACTTCTTGTTCAGCCAATCATAAAGACAAACAAGTTTGTTTACATTTACAGGAGATAATGCTGCCCTCTTCTTATTTACAATGTCACCTAAAAGTGAGAACGGGCATTTGCACGGCACTTTTGTAGCCAGCATTGCAAGGTATTTACGTGCCAGATATGCTAAACATTCGTATGCCCCTTCATGCTTCCACCACCATTCCAGAGGACATGCTTCCATGCTGATGATGCTCGTTAAAAAAAAAAGGAATTAATTAAATTTGTGGCTGAACTCCTTTGGGGAGAATTGTATGTCTCTTGGCCTGTGTTTTATCCGCATTCTGCCGTATATTTCATGTTACAATAGTATCAGATGATGACCCAGCACATGTTGTTTGTTTTAAGAACACTTTCACTGCAGATTTGACAAAACGCAAGGAAGGTACCAATGTGAGATTTCTAAAGATAGCTACAGCACTCGACTCAAGGTTTAAGAATCTGAAAGGGATGAGGTGTGGAGCATGCTGTCAGAAGTCTTAGAAGAGCAACACTCTGATGCAGAAACTACAGAACCTGAACCACCAAAAAAGAAAATCAGCCTTCTGCTGGTGGCATCTGACTCAGATGATGAAAAGGAACATGCGTCGGTCCTCAGTGCTTTGTATTGTTATCTAACAGAACCCATCATCAGCATGGATGCATGTCCCCTGAATGGTGGTTGAAGCATGAAGGGATATATGAATCTTTAGCGCATCTGGCATATAAATATCTTGCAAAGCCGGCTACAGCAGTGCCATGAGAACGCCCGTTCTCACTTTCAGGTGACATTGTAAACAAGAAGCGGGCAGCATTATCTCCTGCAAATGTAAACAAACTTGTTTATCTGAGCGATTGGCTGAACAAGAAGTAGGACTGATTGTACTTGCAGGACATGCAAAGTTTTACGTTGTTTTATTTTTGAATGCAGGTTTTTTTTACATGATTCTACGTTTGTAAGTTCAACTTTCATGATAAAGAGATTGCACTACAGTACTTGTATTAGGTGAACTGAAAAATACTATTTCTTTTGTTTTTTTACAATGCAAATATTTGTAATCAAATATAAATATAAAGTGAGCACTGTATACTTTGTATTCTGTGTTGTAATTGAAATCAATATATTTGAAAATGTAGAAAGCATCCAAAATATTTAAATAAATGGTATTCTATTATTGTTTAACAGTGCGAATCGTGATTAATTTTTTAATTGCTCGACAGCTCTAATTCTAACAAATGTTTCTTTTCTAAAAATAAGATCATAAAATACCCCATTTTAAAAAAAAATACACATTTTTAAACACAGAAGGCCAGAGCCTTCGCAGGCATAAGTCAGCGTCGTTACACTGACTACAGTGGAACTATATCACTTTATGCCAACTGAGGACCTGACCCAGAGTCTTATATTCATGATGATTTAAAAACTTTGAGAAAACATAATAGGAGTTACAATACCTGTCTGCCATTTTCTTCCATTTGAAAAGAAGATCACTTGGTTGGTCATCAATAGGTAGGTTTAATCTCTGTTTAAAATATGTAATAATGCCTTGTTCTTCCAACAGGATTGGCACTCGGTAAGTGGAAGAAACATCATGGATAAATATCACCTAGTAAATAAATTGTGATTATGTACAAAAATTGGTCTTCTAAATACACCTGTACCCCGATATAACGCTGTCCTCGGAAGTCAAAAAATCTTACCACGTTATAGGTGAAACCGCGTTATATCGAACTTGCTTTGAACCGCTGGAGTGCGCAGCCCTGCCCCCCCGGAGCGCTGCTTTACCGCGTTATATCAGAATTCGTGTTATATCGGGTCGCGTTATATCGGGCTAGAGATGTACTTGCATACGAAATATAAAAGCTAAGGAGATTCATACCTACAGAACAAATGTAATTCAATACATATACTTTGCCCATATACTAAAATTAGATAAAACAACATAATCAATGTTTAATGTCCCTCTCAATCACTTATCTGTAAAGAAAAGCTATTTAAAGTATAAAGATGAGGATTCCCTCAACGTTTCCCTTCTTTAGCCCACCAGAGTTGTGGACAAGCTATATATCATTATTATTTACCATAACACCTAGGAGGCCTAGTCATGGACCAGGACTGTGCTAGGCACTGAAGAAAATGCTTCACTGTGACACTGGCCTCAGTCCTATGAACATACATGTGAGTAGCGCCATTGAGGTCAATGTTGCTACTCACGTGTATTTGCAGAATCTGGATGCATATTGTGCGTTCCAGATGTAAACATATCTAGTGTGTTTTAAAATATTAATACTAAGAGCTGTTTGTATGTGAGGCCCCACAAAAAGTCACAGAGATAAGTTGGTTTTCCTTTTTAACAAACAAACATTGCAGAATATTTTATTGCCTGAAGAAAGAACATGAATGGAGCCTGCTTCCTATTTGCAAAGAAAAGCTCTCTACTGGGGGCCTAAAGAGTTAATGGTGTTTCCAATAATGGAGGGTTTTCTTAACCACACTATATTATGCAATCAAATGGCAGACATTCCAATTCAAAAATATATTTATAAATGTACCCGCAATATAAAGTGTGAACCAATTGTCACTAATTAAGCTCACTACATTTAGCCTGCAGGAAATTGTGGAACCTGAAGTCCTGAGTATGAATCTATATGCCCTTTCTTGATGTCATGTATGGAGATCTACTTGATAAGGAATGGCTACTTACCCCACAGTAACTGTGGCTCTTCAAGATGTTGTAGTCAGTGTAGATCTCACTGTAGGTGGGCATGTGTCTCATGCATGGGATAGCGGAGTTTTTTGACTAGCTGTGTCCATCAGTGTTGTGCCTGCACTCTGTGCTTTCTTGTGCACCCATACAAGGACCCAAAGGTTGGGGCAACTGCAACCCTCCCTCAGTTCCCTCACAATTCAAAGCTCGTATTAGCCAGGGACTCCAAAAAGAAGGGATGGAGGGCAGGTCATGGCATCCACATTGAAGGCATCTCAAAGAACCACTGTTACTGTTGGGTAAATAACCATTCTTTCTCCTGTGACTATGTGTCAGCATGGATCCCGCTGTAGATGACTGGCAAGCAGTAACCTCTCTGGACGGTAGGAGTGAGAAGTTTCAGCTGCATCAGTCAAACATCAGGGGGTAGCCATGTTAGTCTGTATCTACAGACATAGTCACTCTATGCATCTGAAGAAGTGAGGTTTTTACCCACGAAAGCTTATGCCCAAATAAATCTGTTAGTCTTTAAGGTGCCACCCAACTCCTTGTTGTATCAGTCAAACAGTAATTGAAGCACTCCTCTCCCAAAGTTGGGATCTGGCTGCCATGTCAGGGATATAATATTTAAACAAAAGTCAGTGGGTTGCTTCAAGCTGCAGCCTGACAGATCTCAGAGACTGAAACAGGCGCTGGACACTTGCTGCCTTTGCCCGAGTGAAGTGCGTCTTGAAGTTGGGAGGGAGAGACTCATCAACCATCTGATAGCAGGCGGAAATGAACTTTGTGATTCACTTAGAGCAGAGGTTCCCAAACTTTAACAACCTGTGAACCCCTTTCACTAAAATGTCAAGTCTCGCGAACCCCCTCCTAAAAATGAATATTTCCAGGAATTTTCTCCTTTACCTGAGTATAAATTATAAAAGTAGTGATCTTGGAAATATAATTTTTTTATGACATGCTTATTACATACTATTTATTATTAATTATTATTTATCATTACAGTATTTTTATTACATTATGAAAACGGCAACACTCTTCCAAGATCTCACTTTCGTAGCTTGTATCGCTCTGAATAAGCCTGTTATAAGACAAGGCTCCTATGTTTCATCAAGGAGTGTCAGATGTGAAACAGAATGAAGGTATTTAAGAAGCCAACTCAAAGTGTTCCTTCTACACAAGCATTCAGGTCTTGAGCAGTCCAGGCAAACAATGTATGTTAAAACAAAGCTTAAACTTCTTCTTCATAATAATTTTAAAAACAATACTAGCTGCCTATTTAATTTTAAAAACAGCAAAAAATATCCACCTCCCTTTCCATTTCTTATAAGGAGTCTTGAAGTTTAAATCTCCTCAGTGTGATAGAGATGCTTGCTTTGATCTGCTTAGCTCTTGGAAGTCCAGGGGCTCCGGGCTTCTGGTCCCGTTCTCCCTAGGGACAGCTCTGTCCGCCATTAGGGAAGTTTTTCCCAAGAACCCCCTATAACATTTCACGAACCCCAGTTTGGGAACCACTGACTTAGAGAGTCTCTGTGACAAGATGGCTTGGCCTTTTGATGGGCCAGAAATGTCCAGAGGTTTGGATTCAGCCTGAAAGGCTTGATCCTGTTAAGGTCACTGAGCAAAGCTCTGGATACATCCTAGTATACAGCTTCTTTTCTCCCAGAGTCGAATGCGGCTTTGAGAAGAAGACTGGTAGGGTGACTGACTGGTTCAGGTGAAATTCTAAGACTCCTTTAGGGATGAACTTGGGGTGTGATTTCAACACCACTTTATCGCTATGGCAGGATGTGAAAGGCAGTCCAGCTATGAGGGCTTAGAACTCACTGACCCTCTGCACTGAGGGATGGCCACCAGAGACTCCATCTTGATGGTAGGTGGTGTAATGAGCAATCCAACAGTGTTTTAAAAGGAGGCTCCATGAGTTTTTAGGCGGATAATGCTGAGGTCCCACATAGTCGTTGGTGTCTAATCAGAGCTTAAGTATCAAGGAGGCCCTGGAGGAATTTCAATACCGTCAGATGAGAGAAGTTAGAGTATGACTGTACCACATTATGGCACACCAATATTGCTGCAAGGTGAAACCTGAGAGTGTAAAATGCTTGTGCTGCATGCTTCAGGAGCAACATATAGTTGAGGAACTTCAGTGCCAGGTCCTCAATTGGGTCCATATTGTTTTGGGCTTCCCACACAGAAAATCTTTTCCATTTCAGGACGTAAGTCTTCATGGTGGAAAGTTTCCAGCTCTGTCTGAGAATTTCTTGAATCATAGGGAGCAGTCTCTGCAAGTAGTGCTCAACCAGCCAACCACCAAGCTATCAGGTGCTATGACTGAGAGTCTGGGTGCAGTATCTGACCTTGGTTCTAAGATGATATGTTTAGGCAGGTTAGGAGCTGGCTAAGAGGCCACTTCGGACATCTACAATAGATCTGAAACCAGAACTGTCTCATCCAGTAAGAGGCTATCGGGATGATCACAGCCTTGTCACATCTAATCTTGGATATTCCCCTGGGAATCAGAGGAATCGGCAGAAAGGCATATAGAGGTCCTCAAGGCCATAGAAGAATCAAGGCGTCTAGTAATGGGCCTCGGTTGACTCCCTCCCTTCTGGAGCAGAAGTCTGGGCCATGAATGGTAAGCAGGAACGTAGGGAGGGTTGTGGCCATTCTGGCCCTTATGCTCTCATGAGGCAGCACTGGGCGCATGCATGGCTCCGACCAACACGGCTATTCAAACAAACTCCAGTCTCATATGCAACAAGTGCATGCGCACCTACAATGTGAGCCACACTGACACACTCAGAGAAGAATTGTGGTGTCTACACGAGCCATATATGAATCTATTATGCTTGTTAACATGTAAAAGCTTTAATATTGGATAGTATTTGCATGTTCATTTTGGTGTATTGAAGAGCCATTGACAATTTAGTCACTGTTAATGGTGCTGTTATAAAAAGTTTACAGAGGATTAATAACTGATGTAAATGTTATATGCGCATTAGAGACATAAAGAGGATGCTATACATGGTTATAGATGCATCAGTAAAACCTGTTATAGATTATTATAAACCATGGTTTCAAGCAACCTTCTGAAGTATTGTTCTAACAATTTATAACAACTGATTAAACATGTATTCAAAAATCTATTAATTCTTAACCCTTCATAAACAATCTATAATTGGATCCTTTGTAGTAAGTGTGACCAAATTATTAAAGGCTATTTGACATACCAAATTGTAAACAATATCCAGTACTTTTGAGCAGTTTATATTTTATATATTGACTATTTTATATTTCATCATATAATTACTTGCAATTTAAAAATCAGTGGATTATTGAAACAAGTATTTCTTGGAGATTAAAAACAGAAATACATTCAGATATTTAAGGTGTATAAAACTAGAAAAATCAGAATTGTATAGTTTGAGAAAAGGAGAGATGAAATCTGAAACTACAAACCTGTTCAGGTTCCACATGGCAAAACATGGAAATCTTTTCCTTCACAGCCATTTCTATAGGCTTTGTACTTCTGCAGACTATCTGTCAAAATACATCATATATAAAACATAAATAAGAAGTGTGGAAAAATAAGATAGGAAAAAACTCTAAGTAAATGGAAGCTCCTCAACATTAATCAAGGAAAAGATTGACCTCTCAAGAAACAACAGCCTGGACAAATAATTTTTTCCTGGGAGTTCTACAATATATCATAAGTCACATAAATACCTGTGACGTTGCACTCTTTATATTTTATGAAAATATGCTAATGAGTTTAAATATAACGTAACTGGAATATGCTTCATGCAAAAGGTCTCTTGTAAGGTATCATTACAAAGCTTATAATCGACTGAGTGTGATCATCCTATTTGTATAAATGTATCACTCTTGTATCTGAAACTAGAAATATGAAATATAACTCTGAGGGCCTATTGTAATTATGCAAAGTGTGGGCCATTAATGGTGGTTTGGAATCTTGATGACTCCCATTAACCAGGACAATTGTCTGCAGATGGCTCTGTTTTACTTGCAAGTCTTCCTGTATACCTGTGTGCTGGCAAGTGGGTAATGAAGTCTTACAGTGACATGTGATCATGTCACCTGAACTGAAATCCATCTTTAACCTGGTGCTTTTCCATTGAGAAGGAGGAGATGGGAACCCAGAGAGGGACAAAGGATTCCCACCTTATGCAAAAGATATATAAATGGATGGAACAGAACAAAGGGGGCAGTCATCATGAGGAATCCCCTAGCTACCACCTGAGCTGGAACAAGGGCTGTACCAGGGGAAAGGACTGTGCCCAGACTAGGAAGGTGTCCAGTCTGTGAAAGAGACTTACTGAAACATCTCTCAGGGTGAGATTTTATCTGTACTCAGTTGTATGACTGTATTAGGCTTAGATTTGCATGTTTTATTTTATTTCACTTGGTAATTCACTTTGTTCTGTTTGTTACTACTTGGAACCACTTAAATCCTACTTTCTGTATTTAATAAAATCATTTTTTACTTCTTAATTAACCCAGAGTACGTATTAATACGGGGGGGGGGCAAACAGCTGTGCATATCTCTCTATCAGCGTTATAGAGGGCAAACAATTTATGAGTTTACCCTGCGTAAGCTTTATACAGGGTAAAATGGATTTATTTGGGGTTTGGACCCCATTGGGAGTTGGACATCTGAGTGTTAAAGACAGGGACACTTCTGTAAGTTGCTTTCAGTTAAGCCTACAGCTGTTAGGGGACGTGGTTCAGACCCTGGGTCTGGGTTTGCAGCAGGCTAGCGGGTCTGGCTCAAACCAGGCAGGGCACTGAAGTCCTAAGCTGCCAGGGCAGGAAAGCACGGGCAGAAGTAGTCTTGGCACATCAATTGGCAGTTCCCAAGGGGGTTTCTGTGATCCAACCCATCATAATACCATTTAACAAGAGATAGCTACATCAGATCTCCACCAACATATCTATACCTTTATTCACCTACTTTCCTGTTTTCTACTTTTTATATTTACATTGCTTCCTCTGCTTGCAACGCTACCTCTCTCCCCTCCTCCTCAATTCCCCACTTCTTCCTGACCCTACTCTTTATTCTTTCATGCTTTACTCATTTACTCTTCAGGTACCATTTAAGTAACACACCAAAGAGCAAAGAATAAGGAGAGTCAAAAGTGTGATACATTATCACCAAGTTTGTTGTGTTTTTTTCAGTTATCCTTTGTTTATTACGACTTTCTTTATCTTTCAAGTACCTTAACAGCACATTTTGGTTTGTTTGTAATTCACCTGACTGCTGCCCAGTGGACCTGGAAGCTGATCTGTGTCCCTGGAAGAGAAGATCGATAGACCAAAGAGAGGAGTTTCTTTTCTTTTCTAACTTTCCAATTCCCTTTTTCTGATGTATTTATATCTGTGAATCCTTTGTGCTGAAAGCAGGACATTTGGGAATTTGTGGAAATATTTGCAATTTTTACCAACAAGGATTTTTTTTTCCAGGACAGATACTAAGTGATTAATTTCTCAATTATTATTTATGTTACCAAGCACATAGGATCCCTAGTCCCCATGATGTCAGCCACTATACAAACATAGAATGCCTTTCCCGCCTATTTCTGATTTGTTTGTGTGCAAGTGCTGATTATATTTTTAAAAGCTTTTTTGTTGAGTAAACTTGCTCTTATTCCTTGATCGCTTTGCTAAGTAAAAGAATACATACCAACTGAATTTTATTTCCCCTACCCTCAAAATAGGTACTCCAGTATGGAAAAATGTAATGCAAGCCATAAAGAAAGAACTAGTGCAAGTTCTAATCATAAAGAAGAATTATGCAAGTAATTTTTAAATTCCCTTTATCTAAATGTGGGTGAATATCCAGTTAGGCTTTATCAGCCATGACAATGTGTGTTCAAGACATTACAGAGAAGTCTACAATTCTTAACACACAGCTTCAAAGTGGGTGACACCAGGAGTTGAGGGTTCTCTGCATGCTGCAGTAAAATTATTGCTAATGGAGTCATAAAAGTTAAATGCATCAGCAACAGCAGGAAATAAAAAAAAACTATAGTAACAACGTCTGGTTTATATTTCCCAAAACAATAAAATACAGGTGCACAGTAGGAATTATATAATTCAAGGGAGCAGCATTGGCAACCAGACAAGATATAATTTTTCAAGATGTCATGAGAGAGTCCCTTGGATGTATAGACATTGTGCATGCAAACAGACATTTTTCAAAGCTCTTTAGCTTAGAAGAAGAAGACTACTCCCTCTGTTTGAGTGGTCAACAGCTACAGATAGTAGGAAAATTATTGTTCTTACGCCTAAACTCAGGATATGGGAAAGTGACTACATTAATCTGTTTTCCTTTCATTCCACACTCAAAAATCAATAGTTTTTAAAAGTCTAATTTTCAAAATAAGGCACAGGCAATTACTTTAACTGCCTCCAGAAATCAGGTGCCCATTTTGTGTCTGAAGTTAATTGCATGCCACAGAGTTTGAAATTTAGGCCCTAAATCTTAAAATATTGGGTACGAGTGAAAACTTTGCGTCAAAAACCAGTTAAGGTTACTAAGTCACAACAGTGTGGTTACCTATCATGTCCTTTACAAAACTGATGATGTTGCAGTTACGATGAAGGGATTTTGATAACTGAATTCTAATGGATGTTAAGACAGCCTACAGTGAAAATATAGGCACTGTTGTTTTTTTAATAGTGAAAACTAAAATAAAGCAAAGAAATGAGTAGCTAAGGTAATAAATCTTACCTATGGACTGTTTGACTTTTTTTATTTATACATTTGACTTATGTATTTTTATTAGCTTGATTTCAGTAGCTAAATATTTTCTTTGAATAGATATTTTTAAATGGGAAATATTGGTTAATATATTTATCCATTAACAGTAAAAAAAACTGGTACAATGCCTATAATTGCTTTTTTCTTGATAGTAATGTGTATGTAGTTTAATATGAAAATTATGTAATGTTATTAATGTATGATAAAATTAAGTAGGTAGCCTTGCATTACAGGCTTATTGATATGGATCATTAAAGTGTACGCAGAGAATTGTTTCCTTTTCAAAACTGCATCATACTGTTTATTTTTCGAGTTTCCTAATGACAGAACAGTATTTATTTTGAGTAAGCATTAGGGTTGCTGGGTGATAATTATATAGTTATTTTTTTATTCTTGATAACACTAATGTGTTTGTTTATTATACGTAGATGTGAATTCACTGTGACTTAAGCGTAATCTTTAAAAACAACAGTTGAGTCTAAGTTTTGGAATTTGCCAGTGTGTGTTTTCTTTGGGGTTGGTTTGTTTTTTTTGCATCTTACATTTCTTCCTTTGTTTCAGAAAATAGACAGTATTTTAATTTTTTTTAACAAACAGTATTCAGTCTTACCACATTTAAATCATTCAGGTGATGTATGAAATATAATTTTAAAATTTGTTATAGTTAGTATGGACAACTGATTCCCCCACACATACAAATATTAACATTTTTATAATGAACCACCAAAACATATTTAGTTTAATGAGTTATAAAAAATATATTCATTTCTTTTATGAGGCACTCACTGCTGGATAGGAGGCTTCTAATTTGTAGAAATTAAGGTAATCGGAAAGTGCATTTTTATTTATTGGATTTTAGAAAAGAAAATTGGCAAAGTTTAACAAGTCTGCCACAAATACAATGTTGATAGCTGGAACACTCCGTGGGAGTTCTGTCTGGGAAAGGCACGAAGAGCCAGGCTTTCAAAGTGCTGGCAGATTAATTAATTTTGCAATGTTCATTAGTGAGATTATTGATTTACCTGTGATAGGAACAAAATTCAATAACTTTGTTCTACCAAATTACACTTAATTGGTATTCGGAATACGAGGATGTATTTTATGACTGAAGCAGTAGCATTTAACCAGAAGAACATATGGACTAAAAAGTTATATCTCTTGGAAAGGTTCAGGAAAAAGAAAATTTACAAAAGAAAGGCAGAACATAATATTTACTTGTGTACATTGTCATTGTATAATAACATAATTATACCAAACAGCAGAGTTGGCTATCTTACTAGGGGCTTGATACTGCAAGATACTACACACTCCTGTGAAGTGCTAAACAACTTCAACTCCCAACAGAGTCAGTGGAGGGAGGGAGCTCAGGACATTAAGGGAATGCCCAGCACCTTGCAGAGCTGAGCCCTTCGAACTATATTATGGTTTGCCCAAAGCCCCAAGGAAAGGGCTGCTACTAGAGCAGACCAGGAAGCAGATTCTGGCTCAGATCATTGCAATCTGTCTCCCCTCTGCTCCAAAGACAAAGTACTCCATGACAGGCTTCTTCACAGTGCAGCATATTTTATTTGGAAAACAAGCATATCTTTGCTAGTTAGTGTGCTGGCATCTCCTGCATGGGGAGGGATACAGTGGCTCTTTGGAGCCTGTTTTCCACCCCATGCTTCACCTGTGATACAGGTGGCCAGGCTGAGGAAATAATCCGACACCTTTGCACATTCATTCACACATTTTATAGTTAAATTGTTTGTCTCAGCATCCATATTTTAATTGGATACATATTTTCAAATGATGGATTATTTTTCTGAATTCATTAGTAAAACTGATGATACAGCCTCACATTCCTCTCAGAATAGATCCAACCTTAACTCTAGATTTTTAAAGCCACGTATAGAGATTTTGCTATAAGACTCTTTAATGGGAAGAGCATAGCTAGAATCCCATGATATTTAAGGGATAAAAGTATATTGACATTCAGTACATTTTTGTAGTTTAATTTCTTTGGTTTTTAGTACACTGGTATGGTCCAAGTTGCTTCCTTCCCCTCCCTCATAAGGGCTTGTCTACACTTGAAATACTACAGCGGCACAGCTGCACCACTGCAGCTGCACTGCTGTACCACTTCAAAGTAGACACTACCTCGGACAACGGGAAGTATTCTCTCATTGGCATAGGTAATCCACCTCCCCGACAGGTGGTAGCTAGGTCAACAGAAGAATTCTTCCATTGACATAGCACTGTCTATACCATGGGTTAGGTCAGCTTAAATACACCACTCAGAGATGTGGGCTTTTCATACCCCTGCGCGACAGTTAAACCAACTTAATTGTGTAGTGCAGACCTGGCCTAAGACAGATTCCCTTTCAGAGTAGAAAGAACTGGAGCCTTATGCTTTGAATTATTTACATGCACCAATATATCTAGATGACCTATAAACACAGATTTTATCATAACCCTATGAACTCACCAGATCTGGAGACAAACCTAGGCCTCTCAGCGCTCGAACACTGTTCTGTGTAGGTTTTGTTTTCTGTTCTCCAGTAGCATTAGGCTGGAAACATATATTTTAAAGGCTGAAACAGTAACTCAGTTCTAGTATCAGGACAATTATAGTTAAAAACAAAGAAATGTCAGTAAAAGTAAGGATATTGACAAGGAGAAAAAAGTATACATCAAAGCAAAGCACAATATGTTAGAATGGAGAATAGTAACACTGTATTATTGCATGCATTAGAAACCCTGTGGAATTTCTAGCCAAACAGCACTAATTCAGGCCAACTGTCTCTTTTAGATCAGTATATAGAGAGTATAGGGCTCAGAACTGAGGAGGAGAAATGTCCAAAATTGGACTTTCTGTAGTAGCTCGGAAACGCTACAAATCAGTGCCACGCCTTCAATGACCTTCGATAAGTGGAACTGATTGGAATTTAGTACACAACTCTGTCCTCAAATATACACATTCAACTGCCATTGAAATTAATTGTAAATGGGTTAATGTAAATCAGGACAGAATACGCTCTTTTTTATCTATATAGATAATCCAAAAGAAATTCTGGAAAATATGGTAGTATCATCAGTACCCCACGTCTACCTTCCAAAAACTTGCCTGTGAATATTTACAACTTAAAAAAACCCCTTTTAATCTATTTTTTGGTGTAAAAGTTATGGTTAGATAGAACACAAAATTTTCAGCATTATAAAGCAGATGTAGCCTTACAGATGAGTTAGTATTATTAGTCTTCACTCACATTACCTGGAATACTAAAAGGGAGACTATTAAAGAATCTTGGGTAAAAACTTGGCTCCAGTAAAATCAATGGCAAAACTCCCACTGGCTTCAGAGGAGCAAGGATTTTACCCATTGTCTCTTTAAGCTTTAAAACACTGACTCCCTCCACTACAACTCCTGAAAAAATTATATAGAATGCAGTACATGGCAAAACTTAACTGAAAATTAAAATATATTATCTTACTAATTTACCTGTGGTACAAGGCTAACGTGGATATTGCAGAAGTTTTCTCTTTTTGCCTTAAACTGGAACTGTCTGAATGCCTCAACAAATGGCATTCCTTCAATGTCTCCAATAGTTCCACCTAGCTGAAAAAGAAGGCCCAGAATTTACTACTGCTCTGACAATTAAAAAAATAAATTTCTACTCTGTGTCAGCCTTGAAAATTTCAAGTGCTCATCTCAGTTGTGCATGTTGTAAGAGGGAGAATGAATGAAGTATGGTTCTGGAGGCACATCTTGTATCATTACATAGGCCATTTCATGTGGAAAACTTTACTCATTTTCAATGCTGATTTTATTCACTTTCAATGCTGAGGGCACAGTTTTCCACAAGAATAAGTCTGTTACCACTGAAAACTATATGCTTTATATACAATTTTCAGTATCTTGGAGACACCTGCATTCTTGAATCAAGTAGTAGGGAACAAGTTATCAATACAGTACACTGCAATTTGGTAAATGAGAATGAAAATGTTTTTAGTTTCCTGTTTTCTGAATTAATAATAACTGAGGTAAATGCAAAAAGGGCATCTAATGCTATTATCACAGCTTTACAATGGGATAAACTGCACATCACCAGTTTGGCATCCTGGTAAAAGCAGAAATAATTAGAAACATGTTATGCCAGAACAAGACAGATGTAAGGAATAAATTAAATTTATAAAAAAATGTATTCAGCAATAGCTATGCTAGAAAGATTGGAGCTGCTTAAACAGTCTTAAAACAAGATCCTTAAAAACAAAATTATCTCAGAATGTGGTCTGATGTGCCCTCTTGTGGTCTCTGGAATCATTGCACATTTTTGTTCAAATAAAATTTAAAAAAAACCACACACACACAGACACACAGACACACACACACACACACACACAAAGACTTTACTGTATTTGACACATATATAATAAACCTACTTACTGCAACAATTTGCAATTGATAAATTATATTTGTAACCTGAAAGCCTTGAAACTGTATTTGAGTATGTCTTGGTCTCTACAGAAAGTTTCCTGACTTTGAGAAAAGCATCACTGAGAACCTCACCCCTATCTAACGTAAGGAAGTTCCTGTGCACTTTTTCTGTTTATTGCTCTTTCTAAGCTTAAAGGAAATGTTGGATCCATATTTTACACTTCATAAATATAGTGGAAACTTTCTGATCAAGCCGAAACCTTAGGCTAAAATCAAGGCTGGATTGTCTTTCTAAAAGATATGCTATAGTTCAAAAAGAAACTATGAGCTTCGTACAGAAGTAAATAAGTGTCTATGGCCTGCGTTATGCTGGAGTTCAGACTAGATGATAATAGTCGTCCTTTCTGGCCTTAAAGCCCATTAAATACTCTTTCTTCAAATTCCCAGACATGTCTTCTTCAGAAATTTCATTGAAACTTGAATCATAATAAATAGTACCATCTAGTACTTATGTAGTGCTTTTTCATCCATACATCTCAAAGTGCTTTACAAAGGAGGGACTATACTGCTTTGCAAGACCTTAAAAATAAAATAGCTAAAATGTGACCTCAATCCATAAGTACTTAGATACATTCTTGAAAGCATGATCATGAACAATATGACAGGATCCTTGGTTTGAAGATTGCAAGCTATTATTTGAAGAGTTCTTCTACTGACTATGATGTCGTGATTTCTGAAATCATCAAGGAAATTAAGTCCTGCTCCTTAATATTGTTAACCCAGTATACGTAGCTGGAATCCACTGTATATGGCTTGTGAAAACCCAGGAAAGGTGAAAATACATACACCAGAAAAAACAGTTACTCACCTTTTGTAACTGTTGTTCTTCGAGATGTGTTGCTCATATCTATTCCAGTTAGGTGTGTGCGCGCGCCGCATGCACGGATGTCGGAAACTTTTCTCTAGCAGTTACCCATCAAGCCGGCTGTGGAGCCCCCTGGAGTGGCGCCAATATGGTGCTCTATATATGACCCTGCCAGCCCGACCCCCCTTCAGTTCCTTCTTGCCGGCTACTCGAACAGAGGGGAAGGTGGGGGGGAATGGAATAGATATGAGCAACACATCTCGAAGAACAACAGTTACAAAAGACAAGTAACCGTTTTTTCTTCTTCGAGTGCTTGCTCATATCAATTCCAGTTAGGTGACTCCCAAGCCTTACCTCGGAAGTGGGGTCTGAGGCAAGGTATTGCAGACTGGAGAATCGCCCTGTCGAAGGCTGCATCATCATGTGATTGGTGAACGATGGCGTAGTGTGATGTGAAGGTGTGCACCGAACTCCATGCGGCAGCCCTGCAGATGTCCTGGAGGGGTACGTGTGCCAGGAAGGCTGCTGATACGTGGAGTGAGCCATGACAACAGGCGGAGGGACCTTCGCTAAGCCATAGCAAGCGTGAATACACACCGTGTTCCAGGAGGATATCCGCTGGGAGGAGACTGGCGAACCTTTCATTCGCTCCGCTAGAGCAACAAACAACTGGGTTATTTTGCGGAACGGCTTCGTTCTGTCTATGTAGAAGGCGAGTGCTCTTCTAACGTCCAGTGAATGCAGCTGCCGCTCACGGAGGGTGGGGTGCGGCTTTGGATAGAAAACCATCAGGAAAATATCCTAGCTGACATGGAAGCGGGACACAACTTTCGGTACGAAGGCCGGGTGAGGCCTAAGCTGCACCTTGTCCTTATGAAATATGGTATACGGGGGCTCGCACATGAGGGTCCGTAGTTCCGAAACGCGTCGTGCCGAAGTGATGGCCACTAGGAAGGCAACCTTCCAGGAGAGGTAGAGGAGCGAGCAGGAGGCTAGCGGCTCAAAGGGAGGACCCATGAGACGAGACAGGACTAAATTAAGGTCCCAGGCCGGGACAGGGGGGCTTCATCAGAGGATGGATCTTTTCCAGTCCTTTTAGGAAATGACTCACGATATGGTGTGCAAACACTGAGCACCCGGAAACTCCTGGGTGAAATGCCGAAATAGCCGCAAGGTGGACTTTCAGAGAGCTGAATGCCAGGTGCTGATCTTTCAGGTGCACCAGATAGTCCAGGATGCATGGAATCGAAGCCTGGAGTGGGGGCACCTGCTGCTGGGTGCACCAGATAGAAAACCTTTTCCACTTTGCTTTGTAAGTGGTTCTGGTAGAAGGCTTACGGCTTTCCAAGAGCACCTGCCTCACCAGGTCCAAACAGGCGAGCTCCGCTTGGTTTAACCACGGATCCTCCAGGCCATAAGATGAAGTGACTGTAGGTCTGGGTTGAGAAGGCGACCGTGATTCTGCAAGATGAGGTAGGGAGTGAAAGGTAGACGGACCGGGGCCCGGATCGATAGGTCCATGAGGGTGGGGTATCAGCACTGGTGAGGCCAAGCTGGAGCCACCAGGATGACATCTGCCTTGTCCTTGCGGACCTTGAGAAGCACCGTGTAGATGAGAGGAAATGGTGGGAAGGTGTATAGTAGTTGACCGGACCAAGGAATCAGGAAGGCGTCTGCAATCGAGCCCTGACTGTGACCCCGGAAAGAGCAAAAGGTTGGGCACTTCCTGTTGGCCAGCGTGGCGAGCAGGTCAATTCAGGGAAACCCCCAGCTGCAGAAGATGGAGTGGATGACATCCGGCCGAATCGACCATTCGTGTGTGAGGAACCGTCTGCTTAAGCTGTCCGCCAGTACGTTCTGAACGCCAGGCAGGTATGAGGCTTGGAGAAGGATGGAGTGGGCTAAACAAAATTCCCATAGCAGGAGGGCTTTGTGGCAGAGAGGAGACAACTGAGCTCCGCCTTGCTTCTTTATATAAAACATGGCCGTGGTATTGTCTGTACGCACCGCTACACAATGGCCCTGCAATTGTGACAGGAATACTTGGCACGCAAAGCGGATTTCCCTGAGCTCTTTGATGTTGATATGCAGGGCCAATTCCTCTACTTGCCACAGGTCTTGAGTCATCATGCTCCCGAGATGTGCTCCCCAGCTGAGCACCGACGCATCCGTTACCAATGTCAGAGTGGGCTGGGGAGGGTGGAATGGTACCCCGGCGCTTACCATGCGGGGGTCCAGCCACCAACGTAGGGAATTGAGGATATGCCCCGGGACGGTCAGCACCACGTCCAGACTGTCGCGGCCTGGGCGATACACAGACGTGAGCCACGCCTGCAGGGGCCTGAGCCGCAACCTGGCATGTTGCACCACATAGGTGCAGAACGCCATGTGACCCAGTAGCTTGAGGCACTGTCTCGCCATGGTGGTGGGAAAGTTGCAAAGGCTGGTGATTACCTGCGCGAGAGCTAGACGACGGGCCTCTAGGAGGAACACCCTCACCTGGTTCGCATCCAGGACTACCCCAACGAACTCTATTGTTTGTGTTGGGGCAAGAACAGACTTGCTGATGTTCAGAATAATGTCCAAGCAGTCGAACGTGTCTCTGACCAATTGTATCTGCGATTCTACCTGCTGACGAGATCGACCTCGCATGAGCCAGTCGTCTAGGTATGGGTAAATGTGCACGTGGTGGCGGCGAAGAAAGGCCGCCACGACTGCCATGCATTTGGTGAAGACGCGAGGAGCCGTGCACAGGCCAAACGGGAAAGCTGTGAACGGATAATGCACCTTGTTTACTATGAAACGGAGAAAACGTCTGTGAGACGGATTGATTGTAACATGAAAATAAGCGTCCTTCATATCAAGGACGGCGTACCCATCTCCTGAATCCAGGGAGGGGATCATCATGCTCAAGGAGACTATGCGGAACTTTGAGTTGACTATGTGCTTGTTGAGTTCCCTTAGGTCCAGGATGGGCTGTAGACCTCCCTTTGCCTTGGGAATGAGGAAGTAGCGTGAGTAGAAGCCCTTGCCTCTGAGCTCCCGAGGTACCTCCTCCACTGCTCCTAGAGCTAGGAGGAACTGGACCTCCTGGATGAGGAGTTGCTCGTGAGAGGGGTCCCTGAAGAGGGACGGGTAAGGGGGGTGGGAGGGCGGGGAGGAGCAGAAATGGATAGAATAGCCCGCCTCTACCGTGTGGCGGACCCACCAGTCTGATATAATAAGGGACCATGCACGGTAGAAGCGGGATAGGCGGTTCAGAAAGGGAGAGTGACTGGTCGGGGTATGGACTGGTAATCCATCCTCGTGTGCGTCTTCAAAATGGGCGCTTAGGGCCCAGAGGGGCTTTAGACTGTCCCTGGCCCTGCCCTGGGGGAGGACGCGATGGTCTGCGCATGGTGTATCTACTACCTCCTACCAAGATCTGCCTGGGTCTAGTGGGGAAAGACAGCTGCTGGGAGGGCTGGGGTTTAAATGGCTTTGAGTCGCCGGGCTGTGCATGCCGAGAGACTTAATTGTGTTCCTTGAATCTTTCAGGCTATGCAAACTAGAGTTGGTCTGTTCAGAGAAAAGCCCCTGACCGTCAAGTGGGAGGTCTTGAATAGGCTGCTGAACTTCTGGCGGAAGACCCGAAGACTGAAGCCAGGCGTTACGCCGCATGGCAACACCAGATGCCAGCGTACGTGCCGCCACATCCGCGGCGTCCAGGGAGCCTTGAAGAGCAACCCGGGACACTATTCTGCCCTCCTCAGCAATGGCGCCCAGCTCCTGCCGAGAGTCCGACGGGAGGAGCTCCTTGAACTTTTGGATAGCAGACCAGGAGTTATAACTGTATCTGCTAAGGATCGCGAGCTGATTAGCAATCCATAGGGAGAGGCCACCGATAGAATAAACCTTCCTCCCAAAGCGATCCAGACGTTTCGTGTCTCTTGATTTAGGGGCGGGCCCTTGCTGGCCCTGCCTTTCTTTTTCGTTTACTGCATCCACCACCAGGGAGCACGGGGGGAAGGGAAGGATGGGTAAAAAGGTATTTGTACTCCTTAGTGGGGACAAAGTACTTTCTTTCGGCCCCTTTGGCCATCGGAGGAATGGAGGCCGGAGTTTGCCAGATTGTTTTGGCATTTGACTGGATGGTCTTTATAACGGGCAGCGCCACCCTAGAGGGCCCTTCTGGTGTCAGAATGTTCGCCCCGGGGTCCTCTTCTTCTACTACCTCCTCCACCTAGAGATTCATATTTAAGGCCACTTGCCGTAGGAGTTCCTTTAAAGCCCGATAGTCCATGGATGGAGGGACGGATGTAGATGTACCCGCCACTGCCACATCAGGAGAAGACGAGGAGGTGGCGACCGGCAGGATCGGGTCCAAAACAGCTCCTTAGTCTCCACCAGGAGTGGGGCTGGGTCCAGCGATTGAGTGGGATCCGCAGGAGGACGACTGACGGTTGCCTCGGGAATACAGGACCCAGAGCGTGAAGGTGGAGGGACGCCTGGAGGAGCACCCTGGGCTTGATGGTACGCCCAGGGGGTCCAGAACTGCCACTGGGGCTGCCAGTGGGGCGCTGAAGTGTCCCATCCGATAATGCCTACATTATCGAGGTACCTCCGATGCCCCTGATGCCTTACTCAACCTGAGGGAGGGTGACTGGGAGCGGGACGGCCAAGGAGGGGTGGTGCGCTGTGCGAGGGGGAGTTCTGCGTCCCCCGACAAGCGGGATGGGTGCCGTGTGGAGTGGCGTGATCCAGACGGTGACCAGTGGTGCCGTTGCCTCAGTGGAGATTGGCCACGGGCCTGCAACCGTGATCGGTGCCATGTCGAAGAACGGTGCCGAGCCGGTGAGCGGTGCCGCAATAGAGAGCAGTGCCACAACGGAGAGCGGTGGTTTTGCGTACGGTGTCTCGGAGAGGTGCGGTGCCGCGATGGGGAGCGGTGTCGCTGTGCGGAGCGGTGTCGGTTCAAGCAGTGCCGCGAGGTCTCAGACCTTGACCTGGACCTCAAGCGGGACCACGACCTGCCAGCTGATGACAACCTCGAGCTGGAGCGGCTCCAAGGAACAGGGCTGTGGGACCAGTGCTGCGAGTCAGACCGTGGCCGCGAGTCAAACCGGTGTGTAGCATGGGTGCAGTGCCGGGACTCAGAGTGGCGCGGTGATACTGGTCTGGGGGCCAACGGCCCAAAGAACGCCAGTTCGCCTCTTGGCAGTGCCAGGGCTCGAGATGGTGTAGGCCTCGAGACTGGAGACTTGGGCGCCGCCATCTCGATGAGCCCTATGGCGGCCTCAAAGGTGTCGGGCGTGGGGGGCAGCGTGACCTCCTCGACCTGCAGTTGCGGGGAGTCCGGCGATGCACGGCTTCCCTGGGGGGCGGGGGCCCGTGTAGGGTGAGGACTACTGGGAAGCATGTCGGCCTTATGTTCCTGGTCCGCACCATGCCCTGCCGGGGGTGCGACTACCGCCTCAGGCCTTTGTGGAGGCTTCTCCGTGGCCTGCTTCTTACGGGTGGCCGGGGAGTGGGAGCGGTGCCGGGAAGAGCTTTTTTGGGCCCCGGGAGACCGTCGGGCCTTAGAGGTGCATGCCGAGTCCTTTTTTGGCTCTGCAAACGGCACCACTGGAGGGGTGCTCCACACTGAGGCGCTCAGGGCCGAGTCTTGAGGTGGACGAAGGGCAGACTCCATGAGGAGTTGTTTGAGTCTAATGTCTCTCTCCTTTCTAGTGCGAGGTTTAAATGCTTTGCAAATCCTGCACTTATCCGCCTGATGGGCCTCTCCCAGACACCGAAGACAGGAGTCGTGGGGGTCGCCCGTGGGCATGGGCTTGCCGCAGGAACTGCGAGGTTTGAAGTCCTGGGATGGCATGCCCCGTAGCCCCCTGGGCACTTGTTGAAAGGGGAAACCCCTTCAAGTGTTAACAACTATACTTAACACTAAAGATAACAAAAATCTAACACTTAACTAACAATAGGGTAACTATACACAGAGATAAGTAGAGTAGCTAGGGAGTAATGGAGCACTTGCGAACAAGAGACCACTCTTCCAACAACCGTCCCTGGTGGTAAGAAGGAATGGAAGGGGGGGGGGGGGGGGTCGAGCTGGCAGGGTCATATATAGAGCACCATATCAGCACCACTCCAGGGGGCTCCACAGCCAGCCTGACGGGTAGCTGCTAGGGAAAAGTTTCCAACATCTGTGCACGCAGCGCACGCACACACCTAACTGGAATTGATATGAGCAAGCACTCGAAGAACTTATTTACACTGACTGGCTGCTTTAAGAGAGAATCGGCTCCTAAGGAGCCACTCTTCAGCAAGTTTCAATGCTCTGCATGGGGATTTAATCACATTAGTGGAAGTCACAGGGAGGAATCCATGCATAACATACTCAGAATTAACGCCAAGGGCCATACAGCATGTGTGTGTCTTTGTTGTTGCTATCCATATCAACTCAGTCTGACATATATACACACAACACAAAACAAGGGAGGTAAAGTAAGCTCTATTTATTCATCACACATAACCAACCCCATGGATTACATCTGCAGAGATGGGAAGTTTCATACTTGCCTCAATGACACATATTTGTGGCTCTTTCTTGTCACTGTCCACAGGAACCTTTGCCTGATTCATCACCCATTCTTGTACAACATCAGTAATGTGTGGAACAACTGCAAGGCAAAATGAAAAAAGGAAGCACTTCCTAATGTAGGGCCACATATTGCTTCCTACTTAGAGAGGAGAGAAAAACCCAGTGGGGCAATTGAGCTGGTGGAATGAAAGGGGGTAGAAGTCCCTCCAGAAGACTAAAGTATGGCCAAATCTTGTTGGCAAGGAAGAAGGGTTGAGTCAAGGCAGCAAAGAGCACTTGCTCTATGCAGTATGTCCCCTCTGAAACTTGAATGGATGAGCATGCCAGCACGTCCAATGTGAATGGCAAATTTAAAAGGATGTTCCTGAATATTTATAGCTGCAACTGAAATTTGCTCTTTGTAAACATATATGCAAGTAAAACTTGATTACTGGAATGCAAATGGGAAGCAAACTCCTCCTGGATCATCTGGAGGACAGAATGATGTACTCAACTAGAAGAATAGGCAGCTTCAGCACACTTACCTACTGTACTCATACTGTCTTTGACCTAAATTAATTTACAATTTCAGTTGTCCAATTTATCAACAAAATTGTCATAAATCCAGGGAAGTATTTGAAGTGACCACTTCATTCACATTAATCCAGTAATGCAAATATGTCAGTATCCCTCTGAGTGAATAAAAGTTACCCGTGTAATTGTTCTAAACAGTCTTTATTAGAAACTCAACTAATCTGCATGAATTTAAACTACATGGAAAGTACCTTGAACTGTCTTTCCCAAGTAATCTCCATGTCTTTCTTTATTGATTACATGTTGATAGATCTTTCCAGTGGTGATGTTATTATCTTTATATAAGTTGATGTCCAAGAATCTTTCATAATTTCCCAAGTCTAAGTCAACTTCTCCCCCATCGTTTAGTACAAAAACTTCACCTGAAAAAGAAAATGAAAAGGTAAAAAATAAATTGTACTGGGATTTCCTCCTACATTAACACATAGGAAAGCAATGATTACAAATTACTAAATAAATGGCAGGAATTCTGCAAACATAATAAATACATTTTAGTAAAAGTGCTATATAAATAAGCGCAATGAAATGCAGTACTTTATTTCAATTATGTTAATTATTTTAGGCTAAGATTTGGGGTAAAATTTGCATGAGTGACTTAGCAACTTTTGAAAATTTTACTCCTAGTTTTGATTCAGTTGTTTCAGCATAAATATCTGGTTCATCATACCCACAGCTAGGCTCTTATCCAAAGACCACTGAAGTCAGTGGAATCTTTCCATTGACTTCAAAGAGCTTTGGATCAAGCCCAGAGCCTTTTTTCAATCTCTAAAGATGCCTCTTTTAAACATCAGCCTGCGAGGGAACCACACCTGTTGCCTCCAACATGGCTCCATATGAAATCAGATGGGAAAGTGCGTTGGCAGAACTGAAAAGTACCTCAGCAAGAGCACTGCTCTTACACATCAATGACTGGATAATTTGCTGGATTCATATTGTAGAAACAAAGATAAAATCTTTTGAAGGTAAGCTCTAGAATGTGTAAATACACAGTTGCAATGTAAAAATGTGTCCATCAGGATATCAAATTCTCTCTGAACAAATAATGAAAGAAAATGCACTGCACAAGAGGGTAGATGATTTACAATCTGATTATGTGAGATGCTAAATTCCTCCAGTGTGCTATTAATTTCCCATTTAAATCACGGGGGCTGAGTACACCCACCATCTCTCAAGAGCATGCTCTTTGAGAATAAAGAATGAGGAAACTTTGGCTAATTGGAAATCATGAAAAGATTAACCTGGGAACTCTGAACTGTGGGTTCAGCTAGCTAAAGTTACATTGCTGGCAGCATTTTGATCAAAGGAATCAGTCATCCTGGTGTTTGCTAGGAGGTTACTGACAAGCAAAAGTGACTGTTGCATACAGAGCTGTATTGATTAGTTGTAAAACTATTGATACAGAAGGCTACTTTGCAAACTTTGAGGAAGACTTAGAATCTGGTATACTGTAATAATGGGGGAAAGCTGGCATATTTCCAGACTACACAGCCTACTCTTTTAGAGCATGACCCGATACCTATTCAATCGGTGAGAGTTTTTCCATTGATTTCAATGGGCATTGGATCAGGCCCTTAAAGAAGAGCAAATGTTTTGGGATTGTAAAAAATAACTGATTATATGATGTAAAAGACAAATATGCCTTTCTGTCTCCCATTAGATGACACTGGGGCAAGGAAAGAGGACAGATTTATATATTTCAATCACCTGAAAAAGTCTAAACATTTATTGTAACCAAAATGCCACACTTACATTAACCTGGATGCAGACAAGATGGGAAACAAAAAGCCATGTAACTGTTCTCTCTATTTACATATAGATATATTTAGACCTTGTTTTTTACATCCAGTTTTGACTTAATACTCCATTTTCATCACTAATGTGAGCTGCAGGAAGTCAAACCTGATGGACACTGTCCCAAGGTTTAGGACGGGGTGGCCAACCTGTGGCTCCGGAGCCACATGTGGCTCTTCAGAAGTTAATATCCAGCTTCTTGTATAGGCACCGACTTCAGGGCTAGAGCTACAGGTACCAACTTTCCAATGGGCCGGGGGATGCTCACTGCTCAACCCCTGGCTCTGCCACAGACCCTGCCCCCACTCCACCCCTTCCCCTGAGCCTGCCGTGCCCTCGCTCCTCCCCTCTCCCCCACAGAGCCTCCTGCAAGCCATGAAACAGGTGATCGGGAGGTGTGGGGAGGGAAGGGGAGGCGCTGATCAGCGGGGTTGCCAGTGGATGGGAGGCGCTGGGAGCGGGGAAGCAGGGGAGCTGCTGACATATTACTGTGGCTCTTTGGCGATATACATTGGTAAATTCTGGCTCCTTCTCAGGCTCAGGTGGGCCACCCCTCGTTTAGGAGAATGACACAGTGAGTGGAGATGGGCAGCTCTATGGCATAGGCCAGGCTAAAATATAGCCTACAAAGGCTTAGCCATGGAGTAGGATTTTTTCCTTTTTATTTCTTTTCTCCTTTTTTAATTAGATCCTTTTATATTTCAAAGATTAAAAAAAAAAAAAAAAAAAAAAAAAACACAGGAGTTCATCTTATGTGGATGCTTTCTGTCATCTGTTTAATTCAAATATTAATATTAATATGGTTTAAAATACATATGGCAAGAGGTTGGTCCATAAAAATAATAATTGCTGGTATTCTTTTAAAATTATTAATTAATAAAAATCTAATATTATTCATATCTTCATAAAAATGAGGGCAAAATTCTGCCCTCAGTTAAACTGCACAACCTCAGTGCAGAACACAGAATTACATGAACATAATCTAGTGCAAAATTTGTCCCCCTCATTTAAAAAGTCACCTACTGAAAATTTACAATAGCTCCCAGAAATATGTTTCAGTAATGTAAACAGGTTTAATTAATATCTGTAAAAGCATTTTGAAGATTATGAGTACTATTATATTATTATTATCAGCAACAAGTACATAAATAGACTTTTTAACTTTTATTTGATAGTACGAGCTATTATAACCTATTGTTAAAGGATTGGTATGTATTTAGGCACACAATGAAATCTTTATTAAAAATATACTAGTTCGCATACAGCAGTCAAAGGAACTTTGCTTATCACCTTTAGTAAAAATTTCACTAAACTGCTTGTTCTAGATATAGCTTTTTATATCTGAAACAGGATTTTCTTTTCTTTTATAATAAATGCACTCTTATTTACTTACTTTTTCATTTAAATGAATATCTCTAGTGATAATTTCCAGTTACACATGTAAAAAAAATAGCACAACTTGACATTTATGAGAAATCGGGACTTAGGTCCAGATTAACTTGAGGTACCCATATTTAAAAAGTACGCCCTAAACAATTTACCTGTAGCCTATAGGTATTGGTAGATAAGACATAGGTATAAGTTAAGGCATAATGCAATGCGCCTAAAAGCCTCTAGGCCTGTAAGACAATAGCTTAGCTCAGCATTTTCCAAATGCGGGCACCATGGCCACATGCAGCCACCAGTGGATTTTTTTGCCACCACAACAGCCTCCAAAACGTGGGTGGAGTTTGGAGGAGACAAAGCAGTGGCGCCTCCCTGCCGCGCCCAGCTGTTGCTCCTGAATAGCTGTTACCAAGGGCAGCGAGATGCACCGCCAGGATTTGGGCCTTGCACCACGCAGCTTCCTCCTCATGGGTGCCAGGCAGCATCTCTGGAAACACATAGGGCTGGTGTACACGACACTGGAGGTGGCTCTTGTCAGTGGAGGTGGCTGCAGCATTCAATCGCTGAGGCACTCCCAAGCAGCTCCCCTGCTCACACCCGATCTGGGCACGGAGCCTAGGATTCCACAGGTGGCCAGTGAGTTCTTGACCCACCTTCCCTGGGGTGGGGTCTCACTGAAGGGCCATGGGAGGCAGGGACAGAGAGACTGGTCAGTGTTTCCTCTGCCTGTTTACAGATGCTGTAGTTACCGCAGTAGCTCAACGGCTCAGGGCTGCTTCAGGGCTTGGCAGCTTCCCGACAGCGTGAGGGGCTCCCGCTCCGTGACACCCTCCGAGCACTAGAATAGGAACAAAGTCTGGGGGCACTGAATTGGGAGCTCTACTTCCTACTACCTTTCTATTACATAAATAAATTACAATGATTTGGACGTGTATGTGTGCACATTTATTTGTTTTTTTCCTAAAGTTAATTAAGTATTTTAGGAAAAATTGTCAGAGCAGCCACCGCAAGAATTGGTGGCCACACGCTGAGACCACCAAAAAATTTATTGTGAGAACCCCTGGCTTAGCTAAACTAATCAAGGCCTAAGGCCCAAAAAGCTAACCAGGAGTAACCCTAAATAATAAGATATCACAAGACAGACTGCTTTAATAAATGAGTATGACTAAACTGCTGACAGGTAACCACAAGATGTCAGTTTATACCAGCTTTAGATATTTTAAATTAGGAACATCAGCAGATATCCAACCACAAGAATGCCATAGTCACTAATTGATGAATATGCTAATAAGGTTGAGGTAAAAGACCTAGTAACTTACGGGAGAAGAGCACCCCAACTTTAGTAGGGTGAGAAAATACAGACAAGGAAAAGGGGCTGAGACCCCTACTGAATATGCGTTAGGCACAGTGGGAATCAGCTGAACACATAAAAACTGCATTTCAGCCAGCGTGCCTTGGAAGAGGCCAGGACGATGACTGCTGGTAAGGATGACAATGAGGATAACTACTAACATTTTGGGTTGTTCTGCAAGAGATGGTGTGAGTATATGGATGCTCAGACACTCATTTTATATTATTTCTACCCTCTTCGTGGAGTTGAAGTGTTTGTGATATTGCTAACAGTGCTAATAAAAATATTACAAAGACACATGCATCCGAAGAAGTGGGTATTCACCCACGAAAGCTCATGCTCCAATACATCTGTTAGTCCATAAGGTGCCACAGGACTCTTTGCTGCTATTACAAAGACAGAAGGTCTTTCCTAAGTGTGAGTGTCTCCACTGTGCACGCCAGGGTTCTCATCATTGTGATAACTCTAATACTTCTGGGTCTGATCAGGAGCCAGGACCCTCTCAACCCACAGAATGTTATTGGGATTTCGAATTGATCAATATAATTAATACACACTCAATAGATCAGGCAACATACCTAAGGCCACCCAATGAGGCAATGGCAGAGCCAGGAATAGAATCCAGTTCTCCTTAAGTCCCAGTCCTGTGCCTATCTATTGGACTAGGCTGCTTCTGCATTGATATCTCAGCTACCCCCTTTCAAGTGCTGCTCTGCTATTCCGTAAGTCATATTTCCCTCTGACTTAAAAAGCAATAGTTCAGTTCTTCAAAGCACCTGCCTTCTGGACTTTGAAACTGACAGGACCCAGTTCTGAATTTGATTCCTGTGGTGA